AATACTCTATACTTTCGCTTCCTGTTATGAAACTTCCAAGATACGTAACTACCAAGATTCTTCTTCTTCTGTGGAATCTTCTTCCAAGATTCCACATTTTCAATCTGCATGTTGTTGATAGTAAACAGCGTGTTGTTTCTTGCCATTACTTACTCTCATGGATTTGGTTTTACTAATAGTAATTTTTAAACCTACTCTATTGGCTTCAGAGGAAAGTGTTTTCAATTGATCAACACGGATTGATTTCGGGCACAACACGTAGGCACAACAGGTAGGATATAACAACTATATAATTTAAGATATAATTATTTTATTACGCATTAAAATAATATGCCCTTGTAGGGTGGAAAAAGTATAGGAATTAGTAGTTCATCTAGGTATATTATTTTGAAAATGCATTTGCATTTTCGTAAAATAGAACAAAGTATCCATTTTTTATAAGATTTGATAAAAAGTTATTCAATACAACGTTTCACTGTTATATTTCAAAAACAGTTTATTTTCGTGAATTATTTAATAAAATAACAACGTTCTTATTTGTATAGTTTAAAACGAAGTAAAAGAGGAATTTTATTCCTAGTGGTATACGTTTATTCTGTTTTTCTATATATTTTTTTAATATATCAAATATTCTTTATTGATTTTTTTTTTGTTTTTATTCGTAGAATCAGGAAACCTTTCTCAAACATTTACATCGACCGACAGGTATCAAAAAGAAATGCCGGGATGCAATTTACAATAATATAATACTCCAGTCGCTAGTCGTCACGGACAAAAAAATGTAGCTTAGATGATTTTAAACAAAAAGGTTTATTATTGCCTTGTAAGCACAATGAACCGATCTTTTAGAAACAACGCTTGCAGCAAGCGTTGATTTTGAATGTCAGTAAAAAAACACATCAGTCACGTCTCGTCACAGTCCCGGCGCCGAACCGAACAATCCGTCATACAAAATATTCTTTAATAGAAATATGCCGCCGGCATTTACATTTATTAGTTGACGAACAGTTCTCCCAGTAGTCAGTTTTTGACACGTCTATCGCCCGGCCGATTTTATAATCTCAGGATGATTTTTTTGGTATTGCCGGGAACATGACGGGCGGTACAAGTGTGAACAAAATAAAATTATTGACGGACAATTAATAGAATGTTTAAGAAACTATAATGTTTTATATGATTTGTCGCATGCAAAATACATGGACACTAATTTTAAAAATAATATTTGGCAAGAAATTAATTTTTCGACATCCTAAAATATTGATGAAATTTTACATCATCACGAAGCAGTTCTCTATACAGTGTCGCGTATCATCCTTCGGTATCCTTTTCCGTCTTTTTGCTTGGTTTGCTTGGTATAGATTTTTGATAAATCGATTGTTTCGTTTTTCCCTCACTACGAGGCAGCATTTTAGGAGGAAATTTGTGGGGTAAAAGTGGTTAACTTTTTACATATATATATTTTTTGGTCCCGATCGATATTCTCAGCAAAATTTTGCTTGTTGATATTAATCTTTAGAGGTCAAATCTGTGACAACTGGACTATAAGTATTTTCTTACATCAGCGAAAGATGAATTTTATAATAAGAGAATTATAGACATTATAGAATTACCTACTACGTTTATATCTATCTTCTTCTTCTTACGGTGCCTATCCGTTCCGGATGTTGGCGATCAACATGGCTATCCTAACTTTGCTTGCTGCTATTCTGAATAGTCCGATTGTCGATGTATTAAACCACTTTTTCAGGTTTTGAAGCCAAGATGTTCTTCTTCTTCCTGCTCCTCTCTTTCCAAATACCTTGCCCTGAAGAATGAGTTGCAACAAGCCGTATCTCTGTTTATTCCTCATAACATGGCCAAGATATTCTAGTTTGCGCTCTTTGATGGTGTTAATAATCTCGCATTCCTTGCCTATTCTACGTAGGACCTCAACATTAGTCACACGATCCACCCATGAAATTCTTAAATACGTCTGTAACACCACATCTCGAATGCCTCGAGTTTTCTTAAAGAAGCTTCGGAAAGTGTCCAGGCCTCTACTCCGTATAATAACGTAAAAAATACATATCATCTAATGAGAGAGATTTTGGTAGCAAGTGGTAAATCGTGACTTCTGAAAAGAGACTTCATCATTATGAACGCTGATCTCGCTTTGCTTATGCGTTGTTTTATTTCACTGGAGTGATCCCATTGGCTGTTAATGTTGGTACCAAGGTATGTGTAGCTGTCCACTCTGTCAATTGGATGTTGGTTAACCAAAAGCTGCGTATTTAATATTTCGCCTCACTTCTCTATCTATGAAGACTATCTCTGTCAATTGGTCATCCACTTTAATATTGGCTGTTTGGTTATAATATAAATTATAGATGATTCTCAAGTCCCTATCATCTAACCCCACTTCTTTCAAGATGTTTATAAGTTTATCATACTTTACTCTAACAAATGCCTTTTTGTAGTCGATAAAACAAATATACACATCACAGTTAACATCCCTGAATCTTTGCATAAGCACTTGGACAGCGAATAGAGCTTCTCGGCTGCCTAAGAAATCGCGGAGTCCAAACTGCGTCCATGATACTTGTTCTTCGCATTTTTTATATATTCTGCCGTGTATCACTTTCAAGAACTTTGGCTATAAAAATCAATCCTGGCATACAGGTTCTGCTCTGCTACAAGAATACAAGTGGCATCATAATCTAGAAGAGAGCAGAGGCTGCTGCAGGTAAAGAATAAGTTCATTTGGGAACTACATTTTAAAGTATTTTCAGAGAACCTTAACTGTAACCACTGTTCACCAAGTTTAAGTAGTATGAAGACCAAATAGGGTTTGATTTTGAATCTACTTTGGCTTCTTTAGTCTGGAAAAACAGAAATGAAAAACTTTTTCAATTTCAGCAAGATACTTCCTGACTTCTGCGCCTAAATTTGATGAGGCTTTGCCCGCTATTAACGACTTTATTGTACTGGGTACCTTAGATCTTTTGTGTGACCTCATCGTAAGGCATTAAAATGCTTAGAATGTTATTGATTAATATGTCTTCTCTCAGGAATCATTCTTAGTGCTTTTTTAATTAATAGATCAGTCAATATTGCAGCTATGTAAGGGGAAATTACTGCGAACGTTTGAAGCATAAATAGTAGATAAAATTTTATCTGCAATCAGCAGATAAAATTATCAGCAAAAGTGACTATAGTTTTAACTTTGGTAATTAAATTTTTTGATACCGCATTGTATACATTCTTTAGGATATATGTATCAACCTAATTTAATATATGTATGTGCAAAACAGTACAAATTTTTGCCCTCTCTGAACAACTTTCTCACTTCAACCACCGTGTTCGCTACATTATCCGTGTAGGCGCCAGCATCTAGCTAGAGGAATGCTGAATTTTCCAAAGAGCTCCTTCATGGTTTGGCAAATATAATATCCAGTATGACTTTCCTAAAGGCGTCAAACATCTCATCACTGTCTTAAAATTATTAGGATGTGTTTTTCAGTTTTTCACCGGTTATCACTTAAAAAAAACACATACAACCGGAAAAGCCGATTATTGCGTAGTAATTAAACCAGGTTTAGGTTATAACCGGTACGTTTTTCCCACCCCTAATTTGAATATAGTAGAAGAATATTATGTGAACTAAAAGTTTTTAAGCAAACAACGCTTTGAAGTTTATTCTCCGGTCAAATTAAATCTTATATTGTGCTATGTTGGGGCTCCACAAATAGGGGTATATCAAAGACACTGATATATTATACACTAATGCTATTAAAGCTATTAGGGATTGTCACAGGGCCTTTATTTTGAACGCCCAGTCTGGTTTGATAAAACCGGCAGGCCTCAAAAGTTTGCTTTTTGTCACTACCTCTTTAAAGAATTAAAGAGGTTTGAAAAGTCATCCAGAATTGAATAGATTAATCCAAATGCAGATCTGACAACGTTTAATACATAGCTATCTATAAACCAATTACAAACACTTGTTTCTTGAAGAAAGAGTTATTTAAAATATTTTAGCGAAATTTTCAACTGTCCAAAATAGAAGGCGGAGTTATTTGCCTCCGCTTTATACAAACTTAGATCCTTGACTGATTTAAACTCAAAGAAAACAGTCTTCCTAGCATTTCTGAGATTTACGTTTCCCTTACAGCCGATAATGCAAGAAAATACAAAAATAGTAGAAATATGGAAGCAGAAAGTGAAGAATAATGAAGAATATGAACAATACTCTAATTTTAGTTATTCCGATTAGCTTTAGAAATGTTTTTTATTGTCGTTTTTTAAACAATGTTGTTTTGTTTCAATAAATTTGTTACTAAGTCTAGGGTAAGTATTTTTTACCTAATGGCTTCGACGAAAACTAGAATAAGTCTACAAAATTTAGCAAAAAAAATGTTTTTTCGTTGTGTTTGATTTGTAAAATCCCCTTTAACCCTTTATATAATATAATATATCAGAAATTTAAACGTTTTTCTTCCAAAGATAACGTCATTTCTTAGAGCGAAATCTTTCCAAAAATTTTCAAATGCGATTATCTCAGTTCAACCAAAATTGAGTTACAATAGTCTTCGTTGCATGGGTCGAAACAATCACATGAATTTAAATAGCAAAACAACCATTAGCATTATTTGTTTGCGTGAATGATATATTTCTTCCAATTTTAAGGTTTTATATACAGAAAGTTTTGCTTTTGTAATTTAAATATAAAATATACATTTTAAATGTGTTTCTTTGAAAATTGTATATTCTGTGAGTTCCTTGATTTATGTTACCGGGTTAATTCTTGTCTCTAACTTGATACGTACTAGTTAATTTTACCCCAAAAAGACATAAATTCTCATAAAAAACTAACGAGTTATAATTACCGAAATATTCGATATAGTCCTACTTTCTACGTAAAATTTCAACCCTTATCCATTACTACCCCGAAAACATCTCCCCGACTGCGGTATCATGCGCATCTCCCCCAAGTAACTATCCAAACGAGACGTGTCTAGTCTCTCAACGAGTCATTCTATATTTGTTACTAATCGCGGTAGGTAATAGACCAAAATGTCTAACAGAGAAAGTGAAACTAATTCTGCGAGTGAATTAAACGGTAATGCCTGGGAGAATGTCATCGAAATCGAGGAAGATAGGAAAAAAAGCGCCAGCGAGATCGTAGACTGCAGCCGGAAGGCGTTTTTCGCCGGGAAGTCACGGCCTTTGGAATTCAGAAAAGATCAGTTGAAGAAGTTGTTGGTGTTTCTGGAGGAGGAGCGGGATGGTTTGAATAAGGCGCTGTATTTGGTATGTATAGTAGTTTTTTTTTAATTTTTCCTTTATGTAATTAAACAATTTTACTGTCAAGTATACATTATCTTTAGTATCCTTTAAATTTTATATTTTGCAAAAAAAAAATTATAAAAAATGACTTAAACTTAAATAAAAGTTACAAATCCGTGCAACTTTATGATATAGGTACATTTCATTTAATATTGCTTTAATAAATGTTTCAACAATTAAATAGAACAATCTTTTAGATTTTAAAATTTCTAATTCGGACGCTACGTTTTGGGAAATTAAACTAAAGAAAATAAATAAATTAAAAAAAAACAAAATGTTTATAAAACAAAAAAAAACATTATCAACAATTTTTATCCTTAATATTACGAATTTTTAAAGAATTCTTCTTCTTCTTTAAGTTCCACTCCTATCGGAGATTGGAAATCATTCTGGCAATTATAATTTTATTGGTGACTCGCCTGAATAGTTCAATTGAACTGCATCCAAACCATTCACGGAGATTGCGTAGCCACGAGATTTTACGTCTTCCTACGCTTCTTCTACCTTTGATTTTACCCTGCATTATATTCCTTAGTAGTTCGTATTTTTCACCTCTCATGATGTGCCCCAAGTATTCCAATTTCCTAATTTTTTATGGAATTTAAAACTTCGCATTGTTTTCTTAGTTGTTCGAGAACTTGTTCGTTTGTTTTGCGATCAATTCATGATATTTTCAAAATACATCGGTAACACCACATTTCGAATGCTTCTAGGTTTTTAATGTTGGATTTTTTAAGTGTCCAAGCTTCAACTCCATAGAAAAGGGTAGAGAAAATATAACATTGAAGCATTTTATTAAAAGTTGAGCGCGCAATTTTCGTTTCTTTTGTCTGATCAGTATCTTCTGTGATCCATGCTCCAAGGGATTTGTACGAAGATATTTGTTCAATTTCTGTATTATCTAGTACTATCTTAACTGTGATGTTTTGTGCTTTTGTAATTACCCTGAACCTGGTTTTCTTCAAATTGATTTTTAGTCCATAATCGTTGCAATATACATTTAGTTGTTCAGCAAGGTGTTGCAGTTCTTCTAGTGTTCCTGCCAGAAGGACGGTGTCGTCAGCATATCTTATGTTATTAAGTGGTTCACCGTTTATTATAAGGCCCTCACTGATCTCGGCAAGCGCTAATTTTAAGATGGCTTCACTGTATAAATTGAATAACAAGGGTGATAAAATACACCCTTGGCGGACCCCACGGCGAATCTGGATATCCTCGGTCAGTTCGTTTTCAACTATTACTTTTGCTGTTTGATTCCAGTAGAGGTTACAGATGATTCTAATGTCTCTACTTTCTATGTTTTTATTTAATAAAATTTCTTTAAGTCGATTATGCTGCACTCTGTCTAATGCCTTCTCAAACTCAATGAAACAGGCACATACTTCCTGATTACTATCTAAACATCTCTGCGAAAGAACACTTACTGCAAACAGTGCATCTCGTGTTCCCAGTCCTTTTCTTAATCCCATTTGTGTATTACTTATACCTTCATCTAATTTCTTATGTATTTTATTGTGAATTACTTTTAAAAACAATTTTAAGACATGACTCATTAAGGCTATGGTGCGATGTTTGTTGCACTCCTTTGAATTGGCTTTTTTGGGAAGCAGTATGAATGTTGATTGGAGCCATTCTTTAGGTATTATACCTGTTCTATATATGGTATTCAATAGATCCAAAAGAAGATCAATAAATTAAGTATTCACAATTTTAAGTAATTCGATAGGAACTTCATCAGGCCCGGAAGATTTACCACCTTTAGCTTGTTTCATTGCATATATTGTGTCCATCTCTGCATTTTTTGGTTTATATCTGTTATAAATGCACTACTTTCATCTCTTAGTTGCCTAGTTTGAAGTGTTTTTCTCATCCCTGTTAATTCTCTAATTTTTTTATGCATGTTAAAAAAGTCATATTTGTTCTTAATTTATTTTAGTTCTTGGCACTGCTCATGTAACATTCTCTCCTTAGCTTCTTTTATTCTCGTTTTTATTAATCGATCAGTTTCATGATATTTAATTGGATTTTTTGTTTTGAATGATTTTCTTTTATTCATTAATAGTAGTATTTCTTCAGTCATCCAATCTTTATGTCTTCTATTCTTTGGTTTTAAGTTTTCATTTACTGTTTTAATTATTGCTACTTTTATACTTTTCCATTTCTGATCAATGTTATAGCTACTTTTATTCAGTTCTTGGGCATTACGTAGATTTTCAGTAAGAGTTTTTATAGTTTGTTCCTTTGTTTGTGGTTCCCTTAATCTCTTAATATCAATTCTACTTTGTGTGGATTTTTTAACCAGTTTTAATTTGTTCTGAAGCTATTTTCTTGTGGCATTTTAAAATAATTACTATTTAACTGGGAATAAGCCACAATTATAGGTAAAAATACGTTTATTGACGTATTGTAAGTGGAAATTGAAACGTCAATAAACGTATTTTTACCTTTAATTGTGGCTTATTCCCAGTGAAATAGTAATCAGTTTTAATTTAGTTCGTAATGTGACTACTATGGGGGTATGATCTGAACCGATGTCTGCTCCAAGGTAAATTTTGGCAGACAGTATAGAATTACGAAATCTTTGTCTAATAAGGACAAAGTCAATTTGATTTCGGATTATTCTATTCGTTGTATCACCAGGAGATTTCCATGTATACAATCTTCTTTTTGTATCAATTCAATTTTTTTAAATAATTACTGATACTTAAATTTTATGTTATTTTATGACACTGCTTAAGTCAATATTTTTAAAACTATAACTTTTTTTTCTTCTTCTTCTTCTTAAGGTGCCTGTCCAGTCCGAACGTTGGCGATCATTCTGGCTATGATGATTTTGTTGGTTGCTATACGAAATAGCTGTGTTGAGGTCTTTCTATACCATGCTCTCAGGTTAGAAGCCAGGATATTCTTCATCGTCTTGGGGCTCTTTTTCCTTCAATTTTACTGTGCAAAATGCATTGGAGTAGCTCGTATCTGCCTTGATTTCTCATTATATGTTTCCTTACGGCTACCTAAAACTTATTTTTACCAATGTTCTATTAAATGTAATGGAAGTGACTACTAGCATCTAAAGCGAAAGATTGTAAGTTGAAATCTTCTATAAATCTAAACGACATTATAGTTGAATAGAATACATAGATAAAATGCCAGAGTTAATCTACAATCTTAAAATAAATCGACATTGATATTTACTATAGTAGATTTGAAAATGATTGATAGCACACATTTTATAGCAAAAGTCTAAATAATTTTTCTTTTTCTTCAGCCTTAAGTAATCCAACTTTGAACATAGGCCCACCCCAAATCGATCCATTGTTTTCTATTTTGCGCCACTTTCTTCCAGTTGTCTCCTCCGCTCTTCTTAATGTCATCAGCCCATCTCATTTGTGGTCTTCCCCTGCTTCTCTTTCCTAACCATGGTCTCCATTGTTGTTTTTCTTGGTTTCATCTTTTATACTTTAGTCGGACATTGTGTCCAGCGAAGCTCCATTTTTATTTGGTAGCACGTTCTCCTGCGTCTTTTACTTTGGTTTTGCTTCTAATCCATTTGTTTGTTTTTTGTCTATAAGTTTCACCCCGACATTGATCTTTCCATCGCTCTTTATGCTTTCACTATTTTATCCATAGTAGACTTGGTGAGTGTCCATGTATGTGAATCATACGTGTATATACGAAAACCAAAATACACTGATCGTAAATTCTGATTTTCAAATATTGTTCTATTTTTGTGCTTTGCAAGTTCCAACTCAGCTTTCTAAATCCTGCCCCTGCTAACTTTATTCTTCTGATAGTTTCGGCAGTTTTTGTTATGTTTGATGTATTTGTCATTATTTTTGTTTTTTCTAAGTTCATTTTAAGATCTACTTTTTCCAAAGCTGTTGCGTCATCATGGTCTGTAGTTCTTTGAAACTTGTAGCAAAGATTACAATGTCATCACCGTATCTCAATGACTCTTTCATTGTTTTCTTAAATTAACATTTATTACTTTATTAACTTTATATACCCAGTTAATCTCTTTGAACACGCCTTCCAGTACAAGTGTGAATACCTTTGGTAAGATAAAATCTTCCTGGCGAGTTCCTTTGTTGATTGGTATAGCTTTGGATTTCGCATCTACTTGTATTTTCATTGTAGCTTTCTTGTAAATATTATGTATGAGCATTCTGTATCGAGAGTCTATCCAGCAGTTGCCTAAAGTTCTATGGAGTGTAATGCCTTTTCATAATCAACAAAGCCAATGTATAAGTTTAAGTGATATTCATTGGCTTTCTCTATTCTGACTGTAAAAAGATGATCCGCTGTACTGTAATCCTTTCGGAATCCTGTCTGCTCTTCCGGTTGATAGCTATCGAGCTTCGAGTTAATCTGTCAGTTACTACTCTCATAAACTTTTAATTATCTGGGACTTCTCCTTTGTGAAGACATTCATTGTAAAAATTTTTCAATTCTTCGAGAATAATTTCACTTCCTGCCTTCAGCATTTCTACAAGTATTCCATCTGGGCCCGAAACCTTATTGTTGTTTAGTTGTGCCATGGCTTGTTTTATTTTGGAAGGATTATATGTTAGGGAGTATTTGTGAGTTGAGATTCGTTATCTTTCTTTAAACATCTTCCTTTGCAGTGTTATCTAGTTTCTTATTCTGGTTTCTGTTTATATACAACATAAAATAGAGTAATCAGTCTATAATTTTTTAGTTCCTGTTTGAACAATAATAGCGTGATTGTTTTATTTCGGCCACTGGGTATGATTTTTGTGCTTAAATAGCTATCTGTACTTAATATTTTATTCATTAAGGTGTATATGAAAAACTTCTCTTAAAACGTTCTCACCATTTTTAATCATTTCGACTGTAACACCCTCTCTTCCTCATGATGATGCCGTCTATCTTCAATTTTTCTTTACTGATCAACTTCAAAAGACCATACTTATCCGTTGTAAAGTTATGGCTAAAATATGCTGCTC